CCTTTGGCGATATATGGAAATGTACTGTATGTGAGACAGGGAGTGGTATGGGTGGAAACATAATTTGCCTGCTCTACTGTCTTGTGTTGCTGTAAGCTGGAGATTCCCCGATTTCCACTACCCTTTAGTTCTGAAGGCACCCTTGAAATGTGTGTATTTATGTGCCTGCAACTGACAAATAAATCCTGAATGTGAAAATATTCTGGCCAAGCCATTAGATAACAACAAAGAAAAACTGAACAGAGTCAGGCCTTCATGCAAGTGTAGATCACCAAATAAAGAGTTTGAAAATGGTCAAACCATTAGAATTTACCATAGGCAATGCATAGTATTACACTAACGAACAACACATGGAATACTGATCAAAACTTTTGATATTCCAAGTGACTCTAAAAGGAAAATTGCAAATACTTCCAATGATCAGCTTTCAAGCTTGTGGCTGTGTGTGTAGAATGGCTGTTGTTTCTGCAGCAATGCAGCACTGAAAGAAGGGGAGAAAGAGTTGAACAGAGCATCTCTGTCTTCTGTTTTAATCAGCAGATTAGATGGTAGTCACTCCTCACTGGTTGTGCTTGTTGCACATGTTGATTAGTCATTAATTGGCAGCTTTCATTATTTGAGGGCAGCAGCGTAAAGTGGGGCTATAAGAGAGGGCCTGATGTCATGCCGGGGGAGGCTGAATAGCACCAGTCTATGAGAGAAAGGCCTTTTGGAAACGTGGACAGTGCCTAATTGGATGGGGATTTCACTGGGCTGCTTGGGAGAACTGGTCTTATGCAATGGCATAGATGAATGGACAGGGTTTGGGAGCAATTGTGCTTGTGCACAAGTTGGGTTTAATAGTGGCCCCCGAGGGCTACTTTAGATGGATCTGCCTTCTCATGACACCATCTTTACTACACCTGTTGGTAGCACAGAACTCATTACAAAAATATAAAGCTGCTAAAACCATAACTAACCATATAAGTAAAATATTTAACTTGCATAGGGAAAGTTCTATGTGACCACAGGAACAGGGTTTATTTTACGTTCCTACTCTTAGGAATGCTAATAAACTTAGCTAGAGGAAAAAATCATATTAAGAAGGACTTAACATAAGTCCTATTCCTAAGTACCAAAGTACACCACTCTAAACAATCAAGCAGAAAATGCAATTATGTACGACAAAATGCATGCATGCATGGCCAAACATGTTATATTCAGACCATGAGAGGGAATTGGAACGAGGACAGTGCTATAATTCAAGAACCGAAAAATGTCTGCATTGTTCTGTTTTTAATCGTACGGTACATCTACCAAAGCCAACTAACCATGGGTTTGATTTTGCATTGCAGATTTCAGCTGGTACAGTGAGACACAGATCAACAGAGGGAGACAGACAGAGATAAAGACAGTGAAACTAGAAGAGAGGCTAGCTAGAGAAAGAGACAGTTGAGGGGGGGCAGACAATGGGAACAGACAAAGAGACAAAGATAAACGGAGAAACAACAGACATAGAAACGCAAGAAAACATGAGAGTCAGGGAAAAAATGGTGCATGTATGTGTTAGAGAGATCTTTGCATTTGACACATCCCCATGCATCCACACCACATTACCTACACCCACCTGAGCATGTGGTCCCTCAGGTGTTCAATTACCTACAGAATAAAGGCAACATTCTTGCCTCTCACGCAGGTTTGGGTTTCAGCCACATTTGGACCAACACCAGACAGTGAGAAACCCAATCCACTGTACACTCTGGCGGTTAGATAAGCAAGCATTGCATCACCTTAGGTCACAAGTGGAAAGCGGCGAGAATCGGGTTTGTACAGGTCCATATTTACAGTATGGAGGAGGAGGGAGAAGAATAATACCACAAAGTTTTTTCCTCTGGCAAGGTTTTAGGTTCTTAGAAAGGACTTACAAAACGGAACATGATTACTCAGTGGCTATAGCTGAGATACCAAGTTTATAAAACATTAATTGGGCTGTACTGTCAACAATAAGTGGTCACATTAGTCTTAAGAACTGTTAACTTGTGGTTAAGTACCAATTTAAACAACCCAAATGCAAAAGTTTGTAGCCTGTTTTAAGGCCAAGAATGTGGGAACTGAGCCCAAAGTAGAACATTTAACAGAATAGTAAGTAAATGATGCCTAATTATGCAAAAAGTAAAACTTAACCTTTAGCCAGAAAAACAAACAGCAGTCCCTAACATTACTGGATTACTTTTTGACCACTGACAGCCCAGCAGAGCATTTTGGTACAGAGGGTGAAGTTGCTTTTCTTTTAGGTCCAGGCAGAGCCACTCGACTGACATGAACTGTCCTGTGTTACCCCAGCAGGCTTGGGTTAATGGTGTCATGACATCAGGGAGGGGGTATTAACAGTGCATAAGCCTAGACTAACCAGTGCTGAATGACTTCTGGCTGACGCAAGACCCAATGGAATGCTGCCTAGAGCACGACCACAAGCTCCTATACCACCAATACCAGCTAACAATATAGCTCTGCCAGTTTTCCCCTTTATGGCAGCTGAAATGATGTGCATACAAGCAAGGACAACCGTATGCGCATTTGTACATTAATAAAATTGTTGAAGTTTAAAATGAGGCTCAGGTTATGGTTATGCAACAAATCTCTGGGGTAATTGCTGCCAAGCATACAGTATTTCAATGAAAAACCAACAGAAGCAAATGCAGTTAAGATTTTCTCAAAAGACAAAACACACAACTCGGAATCCTAAGCGAGTTGAGTATAGCTTATTGTAAGTATAATTATGTGCAATATGTGTAGTCAGCAGCCTTCTGGCAGCCTGTAGTCTTGCAGAGTTCATGCCCTGTCATGCCTGTGCTTACTGAGCATGGACTTGAAATAGCAGGACTGGTGCTGAGGGGGTAAAAGAAAACCACAGCTAGAGCGGTTGCCATGTGCACAGAGATGTGACCACAACATAATTAAATGAAAGAAAGCAGGAAATAATGGGCAGGGTCAAGGAAAAGAGAAATCCTCTTTGGTTATGAATGGGACATTGTCAAAAAATTGCATGCCTGAAAAGACATAGCATGTTTTCAGACCATATGCAGCAGCAGCAACGTGATCAAACTACTTCATATTCAGCTACACTTTAGAGGTGAACATGCAGAGGACCATGCATGTGTGCAGTATTTCAGTGCCCCGGTGTAGGTTGCCAAGTTAAGTAGAATATCAGTGGCTGGCAAGATTGTGTGTTTCACTTCAGTGACTTCAGAACGGTTGCTGTGCTGACTGTGCTTTGCTTGTCTTAATACTGAAAGGTATGCTTAAATTTAAGACATACTAATAAATTTAAGTACCCAGGATATTAATTAATTTTGCTGTAATTAACCCAGTAAGTGTAGCATGACAAAGTCAGAATGATACATGCCTTCAAATGATTCATGGTTTTATCCAGTATTTCTTTCTTATCACAGAGGTCCCACCTATGGAAATGAAAGATCAAACCCTGCCTGTAGGTGTAGCTTATATTTCTAAACAGGAGAGACAGAAGTTTTTCCTTTGAAAATATGCACTGACAGTACCTACAAAATGTGTATCAGTCCCTGAGTGCCTCCATCCAGTCTAACGCCACATTCCCTGTGAGAGCCCTGATCTGCATTCAGAACACACAGGCCAATGTCGATAGTTCCCAGAATCATAAATTTGGGTGATTATGCAACTTTCTGCAGAGACCACATGTAGCCAATAAAGAAATTGATTTGGAAGAGTGCCCAAATGACAGGGCAGATTAGACTGTCTATGAAGAGTTGCTTTGTGAAGACGTTTCCACATTAAGTTAGATTAGATAATGATCAGGCTCTCTATCACTCACTTACCCTTCCCATTACTGCTAGCATCATTAAACAGAGTTTCTCAAAGCATTGTATAACTGAAACAAAATACTGTATTATTGACTTCAGGATATAAGCTGCAGTAGGCCTTTAAAACAAATATCACAATGAAACAAAAGAGGAGTATAGAGATCGGAGTAAACAAAAGAGGAGTGGTCCATCTACAGATACATTTAGAGTAAGGGTTATAGCTGCATTTAATCAGTGTTTGAAGATGAAGGATTTTTTCACGTCAATCAACCCACACCACGGAGCCCAGTTTGCTGAAGACACACTCCCTCTGAGAGCACTGTTACTTTGATTCAATACTCCAGACCTGCTTAACCAGTGCACTGATAACACTGTTTTACAGTTTGCTCCCTGATTTAATTGCTGTTGATCTGTGCTGGCTCTAAAACTGACACAACTCAACAATTCCTCACTATACTGAGGACCCCCTGGAACCCACCCAAGGACCCCCTAGGTTACATGAGTATCCCTGGGAAAACGCCTCTTTCACCCCTCCCCACCCCCAAAGCAAATGCTGCCAAAGGGATAAGGCGATAAGGCGAGACTGGCGAAACTCTCACAGAACTGAGTTGAGGGGGGGTCAACGCTGGGAGCTGGAGTCCTACTGGATAGAAAGTAGGCTATGGGCCACTGTAGACTACTGTTACGCAATTGTAAACAAGACAGGCTGTTGGGATCAACATACTGTCCCCCCCCCAGAGAGACTGGGGTGGCAGAAACTGCTGGGAAAGGTGCAGAAAGGAGCACGAGACCCAGGCAGCTTGTCTGCACGCGTACTAACCCCCGGAACAGTCTCGCGGAAGCTTTCACCGAGTAGAAAAATACATAAAGTCAACATATAGCTGAATGCAACAGCCGGACCCGATGAATTAACTTGTTTTCAGAGTTCAGAGACTGGCCGCTACGTGGTGAGAGAGGAAGGCACGGACCCAGGTCCCGCTAGGCGGGTGCGCGCACTGCGCACATGTGTTCTGTCCCGCGAAACAGTGCGTGTCATCAAAACAGCACATTAAACTTAACTTTTACACGCGCTCACTTCCCCACTCTCCAAGGACTTTTTTGTCTCCCCCCGCCCCCGCACCCGTCCACCCCCAACAGGCAGTGTGTGAACCGCGTCTTCATCACCAAACAACATGCACTCACCTTACAGCCAGGGCAGTGTGAGGAAGGCTGCGACCGTCAGGGACACACACGGGCAGTGGAGGCAGTGTGGAGATGAAGGGACGCTCGGCAGCGGTGGATCAGACCGCGGTGGTCAACATTCTCGGAGTGGTCCGACAAGGAGCGAGGAGAAGAGGCGGAGGAAGAGGCGAAAACAGTGGCTGCAAAGACTGCAGGCAGCTCATCTCATGCGGCCGGGGAGGACACACACATACATACACACACATACACACACATACACACACACACACACACAGACATAGACGCACACAAACACACACGCACGTAAACAACTCCTCCCCTTTAGACTAGACCACGCCCACCAGCGAGGGGTGATTAATGCGGCGTTCACGTCTTATGGGAATAAGGGCGTGTTCAGAGGATTCCGTTTTTTTCTTTTTTTCTATAATTTTTTTGAAGAGCTGTCTCACTGGTATTTTGGGTTCAGTGTGTGCTGTTATAAAACACACATGGGATCATTCTGTACCTTTTGAGTGAAAGCGGGTGAAAGAACAGGTTATATGCCATATATAAGTTGTTTTGATAAAATAAATAAAAACTATTTTTAGAGAAACACAAAGGCCTTTCTCTGACCTTTCTCTTAACATTGTTTCATTACCTCATCTATGTTGAAAACAAACTTTAAAGTTAAACCATCCTCCATCAATCCCGCAGATATTAAATGAACACATTTATAAATATAGTGACACTAATAATATTAACGTCCATTAGTCTTCCCTCTCAAACAGCAAGAGATGAACACCCTCTGAAAAGTGCTTAAATACCTTAAGCAGCACACACTAGTGGTGTAGTGGTGCCAGGAAAAGTGGGTATACTAATTTATGCACCTACATTTTTTTAAGCAGCCCGTCCAGTAAAGGATAAAGGTTGTGTGTATAAACAGGGACATGCAACACTACTCTTGCATATTCAGCACATCCAAAAACGGGCCAGTAGTATTTGCACAATGTCACTTCACTATTGCTGCTTGACTTCAGGGTGTACGGATCATTATGAACACTATTGGATGATGCACATCAGAGGGGATTTAGAAGTGGGTATACCCAATGTCAACTGAGGTGGGTATACTCCATATAGCTGCATACTCCCTGGACTACACCACTGATTTACACCATTCATAGAAACGTTTAAATCACTCAAAGGTCCAGTGTGTAACCTTTAGGAAGATCTATTGGCAGGAATAGAATATAATATTTATATATGTATTTTTAATATTTTCATTTATCATTGTAGTAGGCCTTAAGTAATTTTAAGTAGGAATAGTTTTGCGTGTCCATGAGGGTCCGCCATTATGTAAATTTCATCATCAGAAGGTGTACGCGAAGGCTCTGTGCAGATGTCCACGTATCGCCAATTTGTAGAGTCACTACATATGACTACATTGTGTGAAACACGTCCGCAGACTCCAGAAAGTACTGTCAACAGAACTATTACACGGCCATGGTGTCTGCAGATCAGATGTCTGTGTATGCATCTGTTTAGGAGTAGTCATATAGTCAAACCTTTACATTCTCCAATTGTAATAATGGGTAGCCATTACACACTAAATAAAAAAATGTTTCATCAATTAAAATGTGCGTCATACATTACATCCTGACCTGGTGCCTTTTCCTCTATATTTTGCTGACCTTCAATATTGAAGGCCACTAGTCTTGAGTCTCCTTTACTAAGCTAGCTATGGATTCCAAATAAAAAAAAAGGTCTTGGAGGAAAATAGAGAATTTATTTGCGTGCGGACAGATTTGTTTGCTTTCACCACCAAAGCTGCTAGCTTACCGGTATGCTCGATCTGCGATCCTTGTCCTACACACTCGGAAAGCTGAGCTGCAACACCTCTAGATGACACTAATTCCTCCAGACTGGTCCTTTAAAATCAATACCCAAGTTTCCCATACTTTGCAGCTTTAAGGGACAGACTACTTAACTATGTTTTAAAGTAAAAAGGTAAACCCTTTCAACATTAATTTAATGTGTATTTGGAACACTATTTGGCATCCATCACTATACATTCATCAGTGGACAATTCTAATTCAGCTTTGTGGAAATTAAATATGTCCTTGTCTCTCTGTGAATCTATATCACAACTACAAACAGTTTTGTCTTTATTAAAGCTAAATAGGCTAATTAGACAACTTGTTTGCTTTCTGCCAAATGATTCTGCCTCTAAAGACATACATGGCACTGTTGAACAATGTACTGTTGAACAATGTTTTCATAAACAGGGCAAATTACTTTACCACCTGTAGCAAGGGGAAAGACTTCATGCATGTGTATGTCAGTGTTATAGATTATTACCTAAAAATACATTAAAAATACTTAAAGGTACACTATTATGATACAATATGATACTAAAGTTAAGGACAAAATTCCACTTTAATTAGAATCCCTGCTCTGACAAGCACAATCATAAATAAAAACACCGTTGGCAGTGAGGTATGAATATTGCACAAGTAGGGGTCAAATCTCATTGCACCAGTTACCTTCCTGGCACTGTTGTGTTTTTATCACTCTGAGCCTCGTAGGAGTATTGCATAAGACCTTGTGATGTTTATATGACTGAGAGCAACATCAAGAGGGGTACATTCAGCTCATGTGTTAATGCAATTTAGTAACTAGTTTTAAACATTTAGACATTAATAAAACATTTAGGAGGAAAGACATGCAAAGGCAATGAACTGAACCTCAGAGCACTGTCAGATAATACACCAGGGACAAACCAGCATTCAGTTCATTTTTTATACTGCCTGTGATATGTCAGACTGGGATATGATTAAGTGTTGGGAACACACCATGGGAGTCTGAAGAGCAAAAGGTCATCAGTCCTGAGCTGTGTGTGTGTGTGTGTGTGTGTGTGTGTGTGTGTGTCTGATTTAGGACAACAGGGAGCTCACACTGTGTCCTGTGTCCCCTCAATGTGTAAACACACACTCAAAGAGCAGACATTGTGAAACCATTGCATCACACACATGCTTACATACAAACACACATCAAGTCACTCATCATATTCAGGGTGCCATCATGCAAACAAAGCATTCCTCCTCTGGGACTGGCACTGATACATAAACTAAACACACATTATGTTGATTTCACCTCATCAGACATTCAGTAACGCACAAGCCTTTTGTTAAAATTGATTGATCAGATACATAGTAGACTACCCAACATCAGAAAACAAAGTCAATACAAACCCCTGCTGGTAGTCAGTGTCACTGTGTCCATCACTCATAAGTCAGCCAGTCAAGACTAACAAAGCTTTGTTATATAAGCTGGTGAATGGCTTTCAGAATCATGGATGCTTTGAGTGGAAGCTGCCATACAAGGAACTCAGCACTTTTATTGCTCATCTTTGAGTAAAAAAAGCCACATATAAACAACCTATACAAAGTGGCTGATGTAATCTAAATTACATGATCACATTTTTATCAGTCAACATAATGACATCTTCCCTACCTCAAGCCTCCATGTGAAACTGTTATAGCAACAAATACAAACTTACCAATAGGGTTGGTAAAGGCAGAAAGCCAAACCTAAATGAATTTATTTCTGTTAAATTATGTGGTGTGATCTTCTGGTAATCATTGATTCAGTGGTTGTTTGCATTGGCAGTATGGTTAAAATGGTTTGGAACCATAACGCAGTCTAAAGCTCAAACACACGTACATACTCACAACAGAAATATCACTCACACCCACCCATACACACCCATTTGTTGGGCAGATTAGAATGGCTGTAGGCTGAGACTGGATTTTGACCCACTAAAGAGCCTGTGGTGAAATTTACAGCTTTCTCTGGCTAGCAGAGCCAAGATTACTCTTATGCACTCTCTTGACTTAACATCACCCTGCACTAGTCAGTAAAATCCCTGAAAAATAAGACCTTAAAGTGCAGCAATTCATGTTTTATTTGGTAACACCCCTGCACTCAAAAGAAAATAATGAAAGAGAACCCGTATATGTGATGTGTGCGTCAATAGGAAGTGTCACTTTACCAACATTTTCCACTGAGATCTCCACTGTACATTTCTATGTGATTTTGCAACTAATATGGATGTTTGCATCATTTCGTTGCTTCTGGGGGAAGGTGGAGGGGCACAATGACTGATGTTTCAGGAATCAGGAATGCAGGTTAGGTTCAAGTTCTGTGAGAGTCATTTCGTGTGACCACATAGTGATGAGTCAGGGCCATGAGCTGCTGCCCGGAATAGTAGCTCATCTGTGGTGTGGCAGAGAGAGAGGGGTTACAATATATTTCACAAGAACAGCAGGATGGCCACAGCCTACAGTCAACCACAGTGCTGGGTCAGAATGACACTTTTTCAGGGCAAAGTTCATACTACCATTTGCTGAATCTAATTTTGTCTAACTTCTACTTGAAATGGAAAATGCATATTCTAACTAAATTAAGCTAAAATACAAGAATGTGATCTGCAAGTCAGTTTTCACTTGATTACAAAATTATTTATTGGATCAAAAATTAGGTAGACAAAAATAATTGTACAACCTTCCCAGAAAAATAACATTAAACTTAAAAAGCAATAGCTTATAAAATGTTCACACTCTGTGAAATAGCTCTCTATGGAAGAGTTAAACCAAATCTTTCATGATGATTGTGTTTCTCATAGTTTACAAAATATACAACTCTACAATGTGCTGTAGGCTATTGTGTGTAGATGAAACCATTTAGCATAAATCAAACAATCCCTTCTAGTTAGAGGAAAACAAAACAAAACAGAAAATCTCTTAAGGTCTTCACTCTCAGGATAAAACATACAACAGTGACAGTATTTTTGAGAGCTAAAACTAAGCATGAATTAAAATAAGTCTCTATAAATCTAGGATTTCAACTCCCTTTACTAGATTTATCTCACAATCCACAGCAGCGAGCATGTACACCTGAATGTGGATGCTCTAGGTTTTTCTTAATTCTAAAGACGATTCAGCGTGGATATCCCCTTTATCCATAACTTTACCATTTAATGGCACTAGTCCACTCTTCCTTTATCAACCATAACTTCTCCATACAGTACAATTCTCCTAAATCTGTATTACTTCTTCCTATGAGTGGTGGTTTGTATTAAGTAGTAGTATTGGTAGTGACTTGTTGATTAATTAACTAGTGACTGGTGACCACCACTGATAAACTTCAATAATGGTGCTTCAAAATTGTTTCAAATCTTTTGAGGAAAGGAAAGATTCCTCTTAATTTCTCTAAAATAGCAAGAATCAAAG